GCCCCTCCTTCCCCAGCAGAGCATCTGGTGGATTCGAACCGTGCACCTCTGGGATTGTAGTTGCAGCTTCTTGCCACTAGGCCACCAGAGCTCCCCAATAGTCTGCTCTTAAGACTGCCTGCACGAGTAACTTTTCCCCCCTTAAAGCCCAGAACAGGTGGGAGTCTCTCATAGGCCACACTTGGCAAAATCATGAGAAATAATCTCAAAAAAATAAAAGATCAAATTTGAGTTGCTGAAAGCCTTCAGAGTGACAATGAGAATGAAGTGGATGGACTGAACATTGTCAGGAAACACATCTCTACTATCAGGGGTTTCTTTAGTCTTGCTCTGAATTAAAGTAGCACCAGAAGTAGGCTTAAATTAAGCCCATAAAATTTGTATGATAAACTTGATTTAAGCCACTTTCCTCCATCTCCTCTAGTACACCAATTCACAAGTTTCTTCCCTCCCTTTCCTATAGGTAACCTGAACATTGAGTTTTGTCCCAGACCCTGAGCCTTGTTCTAGAGATTGTTAGGCCAAAAATAAAAATGGAGGTTGAAGCTCAACTCAGAAAATCCTATGTCAGGCCATTTCCTGAAACCAGACTCAGAAAATCCTATGTCAAGACATTTCCTGAAACCAAAACTTAGAAAACCCTATGTCAGGAAAATTTTCTGAAACCAGAACTCAGAAATCCTATGTCAGGACCTTCCCCAGAACCAGTTTCCCAAGATCAGAAACTTTATGCCCCAAAGAGCCACTGCAATGACCCCATATAAACCCCCTGAGCCCAACCCCCAGGGCTACTCCCCTTGCTGAGTAGCCCAGAAACTCTGAGAAATGTTTCTACCTCGGCATGGTTCTTGGCTTCGACCTGCAACCTTTCAGAGATAAAACTTTGAGCTAAGGATGCAAAGGTGGACCAGCCACTTCCACTGAACGCAATCTCACAAGTAAAAAAATACTCCCTCCCCCTTAATTTGTTTGTTTTACAATGTTTACAAACAGTTGTTAAACAATGTTTCATGTAACGTAAAATCTAGTAAATTTTTAAAAAATTTTATTATTTTTGTGTGAGTGTACTGTCAAATTAGATCTGACTGGTACAGGAGGAGACTGCCCCTCCTTCCCTGGCAGAGCAACTGGTGGATTCGAACAGTGCGCCTCTGGGATTGTAGTTGCAGCTCCTTACCACTAGGCCACCAGAGCTCCCCTAAAATCTAGTAAATTTAGAATGGTGTATCAGCATAGTTACTTGTACCTGTTTTAGTCTTTAAGTAGTAAGAAAATAAAAACAGAACTTGAGCCTTTAACCATAATAGAAAGGTTCAACAGCTGACAAAAGTAATAATGTCTTAACTGTTACACAGACAAGTCATAGTAACTAATGCTGTTCATGTGTATTAGAAAGTCACTAAAGTGTTAACTAATTTGTTAAATCATAGAGAGGGAAAAGCAAATAGAAAAACCTAGCAGCCTGTTAACACTCCTCCAGTTCCTGATGTTTGTTTTCTAATTTATGCCTGCATTACCTGTTTAATAGACATCATGCATGCAGTCCAGAGTGCAGAAAATGACATGAAAATATCTTCTAACTGAAAAAGAAGGCATGCAGCTTGAACTCAAGGCCACTAGTAAAGCGGTAAAGCGGTCTCCCCTTCCCCTTCATCTCAATGCCCGTGTTCAGCATGGGCTGTCAGAGTCTGTGCCCCTATTCCCAAATGGGGAAACCACAAATAAAATTTTTTAAAAAGACAATCTCTTTGTAAAGAAACCTTACTCCCCCAAGAATCAACCTAGAACATTTGTCTTATGGATATAAGACTAATATAAAAAGAAGGGGGAATGATGGAGTGGTATTAATAAGTTCAGATTTCTCTCTCTCTGTGTGTGTGTGTGTGTGTAATTGTGTTTGATAAACTTTATTAAAAAACCTCAGTGTTCAGGTTACCTATAAGAAAGGGAGCAAACCTAGAAAGAACAAACTTGTGAATTAACAAAAAAAAAGGATTTCAGAGGTGTTACTTACTGGTGTACTAGAGATGGAGGAAAGTGGCTTAGATCAAATTTATCATACAAAATTTTACTAAATAAATTAATATACAAAGTTATCTCTATATTTAAAGTTTTTAAATATATACATATGCATATCAGATATATCTATATATCATTTATAAAACTAAAACTGACATCAATTTTCCTCAGCCTACAAAACTTGTTTCTTTGCCTAAATTCTGTTTCCTTTCTTTAGTCATGTAAAGTAGTTTAAGTGGTCTCTTTACTAGGAGAGGAAATGCATCTCTCCTAGGTCAGTGTTTACCTCTTTGAAACTGTTTTCCCCAGTCATATATAAATTGTATCTTAATCTGACCGTTTGCCAGGAGGAGGAGAGGTGCACCTTTCCTGAGTTAGCCTTTATCTTTCCAGGGCCTGTTTTCTCAGTCATGTGTTAACTCTTGTAGGTTGCCTGTTTACTGGTATCTGTGTGTGAATGTTGGTTGTTGTTTTTTTTTTGGGGGGGGGGTAGGTTTCAGATGTAGAAATTCTTTGATTTTACTAACAAACGTGTATTGTTAAGTGAGTTGGTCTCACCCTGGTATAAAAAGCCTTCTGACCACTCCTAGAGGAGGAGGCAGTCTCACTGCTTTTTCCCAGATCTGGAGTAAAGTGCCTATGGATATTGCTACCAGTCTGTCTTATTGACAATTGACTACGGAAAGAATCCCTTGCGTTCAGGCTTGGGAAGATGGTAATTTTTGAATTTGGGGCTGTTAATTAACTTGGGTCTGGGCTTTTGTGATCAGGCCCAGAGCCTAATCAGGATCTATTGTCTGGTCTGATCTTTGATCTGGCCACCTTAGATGTCATCAGTTTTCTCAAGGAGCAGATCAGGCTTGGGGGCAACTGCCACATTCTTCCTCCAGTCACATAGCAAGGAAGTGGCAGATCCAGGATGCAATTTGTCTCATCAGATATCTGGAAGGATCAGTGGTTAAATACTTGACCTCTAACTGAAAGGTTGGTGGTTCAAACCCAACTGCCACTACTCTGGGGAAAAAGAAGATGGGACAGTATTTGGTAAGATTACAAGCCCTACAGTGAGATTCTCCTCTGTTCTGAAGGGTAGTTATGAGTTCAGTGGCAACAAGTGCCTGATTTATTTTTTTAAAAAATTTTATTCTTTTGAGTGTGTGTACTGTCAAATTGGATCTGACTGGTTCAGGAGGAGATTGCCGCTCCTTCTCCAGAAGAGCATTTGGTAGATTCGAACCGGGTGCCTCTGGGATTGCAGTGCAGCTTCTTGCTACTAGGCCACCAGAACTCCCTAGGTGCCTGATTCCTATCCCTAAGCTTCATAGCCAGCTGTATGGGCTAGTGAACTGAGGAGGTGGGAGGACTGAAGTAAGGTATTTGAGTCCAGCTCTGCCATTTTTCTTGCTGTGTGACTTTGAGTAAGTGATCACCCTCTCTGAAGAATTCCTCCTCTGTAAAATGAAGATAATGACCAGACTTGGTAAAATGGAAAAACAAAAATGGAAACTTAGTACCACGGAGTTGGTTTTGACTCACAAGTGCACAGTGACCATTCTTGGTTTCTAAAGCTGTATATCTTAAATAGAAGAAACTGTCCAGCTTTGTCCCGAGGAGCCACTGGTGGGCTTCATTTGCCACAAATGTTCAGCCTTTTGGTTGA